ACAAGTTCCGTCTATAGACTATTTGGGAATTATATCAGGCTTTCAGGTTCATTAAAAATCGGACCAATTAATTTTTTTATTTACGTGAACTTCCACGTCCAAACGGCGTGAAGCCTTCAGTAGTTTATGTGTACCCCGTAAAACACTATCAGCAAGCCTGATGTAACTCTTTCATGTAGATGAATTCGCGCTTGCCGCAGGAGAATACCTATGATTTGGAGCAGCAGTTCCTGTTGAGCCTACCGGAGGAGGCTGCCCGGTATCTGGCTGAGGATCTCAACGTCGGTATACCCCTCAAGGTAACCCACCACTTACGGTTTCGTTGGCTTCCTTTCCCGCCTCTGTCCCACCGCTACTGTTTCCCGCGTCTCCCTTGTAGGACAATCTAACCATTGAAATGAAGCCAGACATGCGAAACGCCATTGTTCGCTACAACGGTCAGGTCTACCGAGGCGTGTTGTTGGATCTACCCTGCATCATCGAATCCCTCAAGACTACCGATCGAAAGACCTTCTACAAAACGGCGGACATCTCGCAAATCATGATCTGCAGTCAGAGTGAGGACAACGGTCCGATCAGGGGTTCTGCGGCGTACCTCTCCTCCCGCTCCCAAGGTGGCAACGTCTCCACTGCAGGAGGGTAAGTACGCATGTCTCACTGACTAGGATTTTTTGCTTTGGCGGCCAGGGTGACAGTGGACGTTTGGGTTGGGCTATCTTTCCCTCTCCTCCGTCCCCTTCTTGTTTACCGTCCATCTTTGCTTCCCATCCTTCCTTCTATCCTCTTCACCCCCTTCCTCCTATACCGTTGCCTTTATTAGCACCAAGGTTAATTTGTGGCAGTCCTAACTGCGTTGAGTTTAATATAATGAAGGAACACCACTTCAGTTCCGGTAGTCTCGTACAGTGGTGCCACTGACTAATTGAATGGAGCTAGTCTGCGGACCTCGAACGGACAGGACTTAGGCAGAATGGCATTACCGACAAATACAAGGGAGACTGAAATGGCCATTGCTGGCTTATTAGCCGTCGTCAGCCAGTCATACCCAACCCCGAAGTGTGGAACGCCCGAGGCTCGAACTCGCGACCTGTTAGTTAGAAGTCCACGCCTCTAACCACTGGACCACGAGCCCGTTGCCTTGTCGGACTTGTTTGCTCGTGAAAGCAAAGCAGCTTTTTGTGTGTTTGTCCTTTCATGGGTGACATTCGGACCACTCTTTCTGGAACCTGATGCACGAACTGGAAAAGCAGGCCGTGTACGGCGCGCGTAGACGGGATGTTTAACCATGTCAGTCATTGTACGCAATCCCATAGCCGGTTGGTTGATAGGCCCGGACGGTCGACTGGTGGGGCATAGTCTTCACAACACATCATCGCATCTCTTTTCAATAATTGGAAATGCAATATATCTCAATCTACCGCGATGTGCTAAGAGTCGTGGCCTAGAAGGTTGCAAACTTACCGGACGACGCGGTCCTTCTCAAAACTGGCTTCTTTTCAACTTGCCCTTTATGGCACTCCCGCCCAGGTGAGGTTCGAGACACCTTTGTAGGTCGTGTGGGCACGCGTAAAGGAGCCAACCACCGCGCCCGCACCGATCTCCTGTCTCACTGACTAGGATCTTTTGCTTTGGCGGCCAGGGTGACAGTGGACGTTTGGGTTGGGCTATCTTTCTCTCTCCTCCGTCCCCTTCTTGTTTACCGTCCGTCTTTGCTTCCCGTCCTCCCTTCCATCCTCTTCACCCCCTTCCTCCTATACCGTTGCCTTTACTAGCACCAAGGTTGATTTGTGGCAGTCCTAACTGCGTTGAGTTCAATATAATGAAGGAACACCACTTCAGTTCCGGTAGTCTCGCACAGTGGTGCCACTGACTAATTGATTAGAGCTAGCCTGCGGACCTCGAATGGACAGGACTTAGGCAGAATGGCATTTCCGACAAATACAAGGGAGATTGGAATGGCCATTTCTGGGTTATTGGCCGTCGTCAGCCAGTCATACCCGACACCGAAGTGTGGAAAATCCGAGGCTCGAACTCGCGACCTGTTAGTTCGAGGTCCACGCCTCTAACTACTGAGCCACGGGCCCGTTGCCTTGTCGGACTTGTTTACTCGTTAAAGCGAAGAATCTTTTTGTGTGTCTGTCCCTTCATGGGTGACATTCGGGCCACTCTTACTGGAACCTGATGCACGAACTGGGAATGCAGGCCGTGCATGGCGCGCGTAGATGGGACGTTTAACCATGTTGATTGATAGGTCCGTACAGTCGACTGGTGGGGCATAGTCTTCACAACACATCATCGCATCCCTTTTCCACAATTAGAAATGGAATATGTCTCAATCTACCACGATGTGCTAAGAGTCGTGTCCTAGAAGGTTGCAAACTTATCGGACAACGCGGTCCTTCTCAAAACTGGAAGTCAGGCCGCAGTTGTTTCTTCTCAACTTGCTCTTTATGGCACTCCCGCCCAGGTGAGGTTCGAGAAACCT